CATGATCTTGCGGAATGCATCCATCACCTCGTTGTCAGCCATGCGGACACGCTGCCGCAGCTCCTGCCGGTGCAGTTCCTCCTTGGCCAGCCTGGGGGGCACAGGAGGGCGTCAGGCCCTGCTGGGCAGCCCCCTGCCCACACCCATCCCTGCCCGCTTGCTCTCACCGCAGCAGCTCGTGCTTCTTGGTGCGGTTGTGTGCGCTGAGTGCCTTCAGCTCTGCCTGCCTCTTGCGTAACTCAGCCAACACTTCGTCCTCCGAGTCCTCAGCTGGACGGTCCTCTGACTCCAGCAGGCCCTGGGCCACCAGCTCCTCCTTGATGCGCCCCTCCAGTGACTTGGTGTGGGGGACACTGCCAGGGTGGAGAGTGGCTGCTGCCCACCACACGCTCTTTGCTCCCTGGGATTCACAGTGGCAGGGAGCCAGCAGCGTGTTCGGTGCACGCAGGGGCAGTGCTGAGCTCCAGGCCCGCCACAACTGCTCACCTGAAGGGCTTGTTCTGGCTGCGGGGAGATGTGCCAGCACCGTCAGCTCCCGAGTCCTTGCCAGTGATCTCAGGGATTGGGGAGTCCTCAACAGGGGAGATGATGTTCTCCTAGCAAAGGGAGCATGAGGGAAGGGTTACGGTGCTGGGTCTTGGCAGCAGTGCCCCATAGTGCCAGGCCACCATGGCATGGGGTTGTTGGAGCCCCTCACCTCCACAAGGGCCTGCAGGAGACGTTGTGTCAGGGGACCAAAGGGACACCCATCCTCTGGCTGCTCATGCTGGGCTTCTGACTTCTTCAGGAGAGCATCAACATCTAGGAGGAAGCAGGAGAGGGAAAAAGCACCCCCAAAGGCAGAGAGATGAGCAGCGGGGCAGGGCAACTTCAGCCTTTCTTGGGCGTAGCTGCACTGGGCACAAGCACTCCCAGCCCTTCTGGGCAAAGGCAGGGGTGGGATTGGGGTACCTTTAGTGTCCAGCTCAGTCAGTGGTCCCAGAACACCTTTCTTCTTGTCAGCAGCAGCTGCTGCCCGGGCTCCATCCTTCTGCTCCTCCAGCAGGTCCTCTTGTGCCCAGCGCTGGGAGTAATGCTTCCCCAGAGGTGGAATCTGCAAGAGCAAGGCTCAGCACAGCTCCTGGAGCCTCTGCCTTGCCTCCCACCTCCCCAGTGCCACAGCAGCATCCCAGGCAGGAACAGTCACTGTGAAATGCCAGAGGGGATGGGGAGAGAGGGCAGAGGAAGGGCTTAGGAGCTTTTCACCTTGTAATGCTCAGCCTCATCCTCCGGTGGCTTGAGCAGCTCCTCCAGGACTCTGACCTCCTCATTGGTGAGATCAGCACAGTACGGCTCCACCGATGCCCAGAACCTGCAAGGATGTACAAACTGTGAGAGGGAGCTGCAGGGGAGCATGTGGAAGGTGACACATGTCCCCTTTCCCCCTGTGGCCCCTCTTCTCTCACACTAGAGGCAGCCCTTGTGCCACGTGCTCCAAGGAAGGAGAAAGATGATCCCAATACTTCCCAACACCCACACACCTATTTGGAGCATCATTTTTGGGGATGCGGGGCACATCAATGGGATCATCCTGGAACTCATATTCCTGGATCTTGGGCTGCAGGTTCTTGGACTTGGGCCGGCCAGGCCCAGGCCCAGTCCCATGGCCCCCTTTGCCCTCCAGCTTCTGCTTCTTGGGCTTCCCATGTTTTACAGATGTGCCCACATCGTGGTCCTTGTTCAGCTTCAGGAACCGCCGGTCACCCTTCTTATCCTGCCAGTCTGTCAGAATCTGGAAGAGAGTGATGTACCATAAGGTCCTGTGCCCAGTGCTGGGCAGGGGCACATCAGAGGCAGCCCCTTGGTAGGAAGGACCCAGACAGAGAGTCTGTCCCTGACCCATTGTGGCCCCAGCACCTGTGTCTCAGCCTCCAGGACACGAAGGCGGCGGCTGGCAGAGGACAGCAGCGTTTCCAGTTCCAGCTGCAGCGTGTCCAGCTCCTCGATGCCGATGCCATCGTCCTCCGAGCGGGCCAGCACGGCCGTGTACCGGGGGCACACTTTCACGTGGTCCACCGACTTGAAGTCATGGAACTGCAGCGGGCAGTCCTTCAGCTCGCTCATGGCGGTGGGGACCGGGCACCGAGTGGACTCTGGGGGACCGACGGGCGCACGGGGGTGCCGGGGACAGGGGAAGCCGGGAGGGAAGGGAGTGGAGTGGGGGGCTACGGAGGGTCGGGGGGCATCGGGGCTCTGTGGAACCCGGGGTGGGGGATCACCGGGCCGCTGAGGGAACAAGGCGGGGGGATCACCGAGGCAGCGAGGAACCCGGTGGGGGGATCACCGAGGGGAACCGGAGGGAGATCACCGGGTGGCTGCGGGGACAAGGCGGGGGCGGCCCCGGGGCGCAGCGGAGGCCGCGGGGCCGGGCCTGGGCCGGGCGCCCCTTCCGGCCCCGCGGGCGCCCCGCCCCGCGCTCCCCATTGGCCGCGCCGCGCCCCGCGCCGCCGTTCATTGGCCCAGCCCGCCCTCCATCTCCCTTCCCTAATATGGAAGCGCTGACAGGCCCGTACCAAGCGCCGCAAGGCGCGGGGGGAGCCGCGCGAAGTCTCGCCGCCGCCACCCGGCTCCGTGCCGCGGGGGGGCCAGGCCGCAGGGCGGGAGCTTCCCGCCGCCCCCCCTCCCTCCCGCCGCAGTGGGAGGTGCCGCGCATCCCGGAAGAGGCGATCAGCCACTTCCGTCTGCCCGGACCGGAGCGCCGCTGCCACCATGGTAGGGCGGGGGGCTCGCCGTGAGGGGCGGTGGCAGCGGGGAGGCTGGGGAGGGTCGGAACCGGGGCCGGCGGAGTGAGCGGGGCTGAGGGGACGGCGGGTTGCAGGTCGGGGGCTGGGGCAAAGGGCGAGACCTGACTCCCGGGCTCCGTTCGGGGGTCTGACGCCGCCGCCGTGTCCCCGCAGACTGCCACGCTGCGCCCGTACCTGAACGCGGTGCGCGCCACGCTGCAGGCCGCGCTGTGCCTGGAGAACTTCTCCTCGCAAGTGGTGGAGCGGCACAACAAGCCCGAGGTGGAAGTCAGGTATGGGGGCGGGAGGAGACACCAGGGGAGCCCTGCGGAGCCCTGGTTGCCCGCCCTGGGGGCCGCTGGCCCGTTCTTGCCGTGCACTGGGCACCCCCCAGCCCTTAGGCACGGGGCCGGTGGCGGCAGGGAGCCGGGGAGCTGCGGGAAGGAGGAAGGGGATCTAGCTTGTGACTGAGGGAGCATCTGCTCTGAGGAGGAACATCTTCAGAACGCAGGAGCATCCTGTAGCAAAGCCCCCGCATCCCCATGATCCCTGCGGCTCCCCTTCCCTGTTTCCCACCAGTAAATGCTTCATTTTGAGTCACTCCTGCCCTCCCTCTGTTCGCAGGAGCAGCAAAGAGCTGCTGTTACAGCCGGTGATCATCAGCAGGAACGAGAAGGAGAAGGTCCTCATCGAGGGCTCCATTAACTCTGTGCGCGTCAGCATCGCGGTGAAGCAGGTGAGGGGGGGTTTGGGCAGGGGACTGGCAGCTCAGCCTGTGGGGAAGCCTCACTTCCCTTTTCTCTCTCCAGGCTGATGAGATCGAGAAGATCTTATGCCACAAATTCATGCGCTTTATGATGATGAGGGCTGAGAACTTCTTTATCCTGCGCAGGAAGCCCGTGGAGGTGAGGTGACAGGGAGAGGACAAAGCAACTCCTGGCTCCACTCCTGACACTGGGAGGGTGTCCAGTGCATGTGAGTTTGCATGGCCAGCAGTTTGGGTGCTAAACCCTCTGGTGCTTCTCTCTTGTACAGGGTTATGACATCAGCTTCTTGATCACAAACTTCCACACGGAGCAGATGTACAAGCACAAGCTGGTGGACTTTGTCATCCACTTCATGGAAGAGATCGACAAGGAAATCAGTGAGATGAAACTCTCCGTCAATGCGAGGGCCCGCATCGTGGCAGAGGAGTTCCTTAAGAATGTGAGACTCTGAAATGGGAGGAGGAGTCTCTGATTTGGGGAGTGGGGTGTGAGGTCAAAGCCAGTGTGGCCCTTGTGCCCAGAGCCCCCCTGTCCCATTAGTAAGGACAAGCTGACATCCTGCCCAAGGAACTTCTTGGAGACAGGGAGAAGAGGACGCCAAAGGCACTTGCATCCCATTTGCTCATGAAGTGTCAGCTTTTGAGACCCCCAGAGCTTGCTCAGTGGCAGCAGCAGCCTTGGGTGGATGAGACCCTTTTGGCGGGTGCTGAGATGGTTGTGCAGTGCCTGGGGAGGCAGAGTATGGATCCCTGTGAGCAGTGGCCACACTCAGCCTCCATCCCAGGTGCCAGGAGGGTGGTGAGGGTTCTCAGACCACTCAAGCAGGGACTAACAGCAGTGTGTTTTCTCTCCAGTTTTAGGCCGTGGTGCAGGACCCCGTGGCTCCCCTGTGCTTGTGCCCACCGGGCACTGTGCCTGTGCCTGCTCCCGTTTCTCGAGGACCGCTGGGTGGGGCCGGGCCCTGCCTGCCCCTCTCTGGGCTGGGCGGGAGCAGCCCCTGCTTGCGGCAGCGCGGCCCCAGCCGCTGCCCCTGTCTCGTCTTGTTTTTTAAACAGTCTTGTTTGCTGTATCTGCCGCCTCCGTCTCCTCCCTCCCGCCGCTCTGGGCCACACCAGGGGATGGGGGGGAGGGCATTGTGGCCCTGGGGGGCAGATGATGGAATGGGAGTAGGACATGGAACTGTATGGGCACAGTGTGGCAACAGCAAACACTGGGGTCAGCCCTGATGGTGAGGAGCTGTGGGGGGTGTCAGGAGAGTATGAAAGGACTTGAAGTCAGCCTGGGGGCAGCAAGAGGCTTGGGGTGTGGGGCACAGAAGGATTTTGGGAAGGGTGCAAGGTTTGGCTGGCTGTGGGCATGTTTGTGTCCCCCCTTCTGTGCAGTGGAGCCATTGTGGTGGCTGGAGCTGGGGGCTGTGACATCACAGTGGTGCTGGGGTTGGCGGAACCACATCCTGCATTCTGACATTTGTGGTACTGGGGTTTAGAGCCCATGTCCTGTGCTGGACTCCGACTTCAGTCCCCCGCAGGACAGGGGAATAGAACAACCAGATTAGCACAGAGAGGAAGAGCCACCCACAGCTCCCCTCGCTCTCAGTCTACCATGGGACAATGTGACACAGAGAGCAGCACTCCAGGCACACCCCACCCCAGACAGGGACGGCACTTGAGCAGGGTACACTCCAGCCACCCCACGGCCCAGCAGGCTGGGGACAAGGGCACGGTGTGGCATCCTGGGACTGTGAGGTGCAGCTGGGACATTGGCACGAGGCTCAGCAGGTCAGAGACTGCCCTTTCAAGGGCCCGAGGTTTGGTCAGTCAGAGGAAGGCAGGTCAGTGTTTTCTACCTCTCCAGGGCCGTGGCAGCCCCTGTGGGACTGGGGACAGTGGGCTCAGACAAGGCTGTCCTCACAGGGCACTCAGCAGCCACCACCAGACACCAGGTTGGCTACCAGCACTTGCTTAACCTTGAGCAGCTCAAGAAGGCCAAGCTGCATGTGGAGATGGCCATTAAGGTGAGGGACCTGATTTTACACCCTTCAAATGCCACTTGCTTCCATTTATTGCATTTCTGGCTCAGGAGAGCTGAGCCAGAGGAACCAGGACTGGGGCAGGCTGAGCCCACTGGTCTCTGCACAGGAGAAGAAGATCTTCACAGTACAGGGCCCCTACCCCATCATCCGGCGCCTGATGCGAGCCCAGGGCTGGGTGGAGAGGAAGGTCCCCAGCACGGGCAGACGGATGGTGAAGCATCGTGGTGACCAAGACAAGCAGCGGCAGGAGACAGGGCCAAGTAATGGTGGTGGTGGGCAGGAGGAGGCACTGCTGAACCCAGGTGGGGGGGCACAGCCTTTTCTGGGGACCACACAGCCCCCGCACTACCCATGGCGACCTGCTGAGGAGGAGGAAGAGAAGGAGGAAGAGCAGTGTGATGAGGACCCCAACGGCATCCATGACCTCATGGTTAGCAGAGGGCTTGGGGCTGAGCTCTGCCACTGCCCCCAGCACCCTTCCCCTGGGACCCCAAGCATGGGTGCACAGCCTTGGACAGGGGATGAGGGTGGGATGTGGGCTCTGTGTCCCACCCGGGTTTCCTTCCTCCACCAGTCCTACCTGGTGCGGGACCAGTTGCCAAACTTCATCTGGACCAACTTCCTTGAGGCCACTGACCATCAGCTGCTGCAGCAGGACAACGTGGTGAACCACTATGCCCGGGTGGATGCATTCACCACCAAGGTGGGAGGCTGGAGCCCTTGGGGAGGGGGATGAGATCCAGTAGGAACTGACAACCTCCTCTAAACAGGAGGGGCTGTGCCTCAGCCTACAAAACCTGCCGTGGATTGAGCAAGCTGACCCCAACACCTTCTTCCCCCGGTGCTACCGGCTGGGGAACGTGGATGAGCGGGAAACTTTCATTGGTGAGCTGAAGGCTGTTGCCCTCCCGTCTCTCCTTGTTCTCCCACTGCTCCAATGTCCTGTGCAGGACTGGCTAGGGATGATGCCTCCTTCTTGCAGAGGATTTCTGCCTGACAGCAGCACGAAGCCTGCTCAAATTGGCTCTGGAGGAGGCTGGGGACAGGCCAGTGGGGACTGAACAGGTCCCAAACAATGCCAAGGGGGCAGGTGAGTACGTGGAGGCGACATCACCTGGGGATGATGGCAGAGAGTAGTTAGAGACAACTGATGCCTGAGCTTGGAGGCATAGCCACTGCTCATGGTTGTGGCCTGGGATCCCCCACTCCCTCCTACTTGCCCACCTTATGGGTGCTCTGCGCCCCACCCCATCCCCATGCACCCAAAGCTACCCATCCCACAGAGAAGTTCTGGCCAGAAGGCTGGCATAGGAGTCATGTCTCTCACCCCAAGCATTCCACAGGATGGCCAGCCTCCCCCCTGTACCCTGAGCTGGTGGAGGAAGCCCTGGAGGTCTGTAGGCAGCACCTGGGCGTTCTGCAGCACCACGACATCGACAGGAACACCCCGTCCCCCTGCAGGACATGCATTGACTGGGACCGCTTCCTGCAGGAATACTACCACGTGGCACAGTGAGTGCTGAGTGGGATGGGGGGCACCATGGCAGGGCTGATGCCGACGGCCTCTTCCTCCCCACAGCAAGGGGGCAGGGTTGGTGCTGACCCAGCAGCAGCGGAAGCAATGCCAGAACCTGCTGCGGCGCCTGGCACAGCAGCTGCCCCAGCTTGACATGGAAGGCAAGCTCAACGTCTGGATCCTCAAGCCTGGCGCTGAATCCCAAGGCAGGGGTAAGGCTGGGGGAAGCGGAGAGCACACAGAAGCTCCCCATTTAGGAGGGATCCCACAATCACTGTGTTCCCCAGGCATTGTCTGCACAACGCAGCTGGAGGAGGTGCTGCAGCTGGCACGGAGCTGCATGGCACCCTCGGTTCAGGTGGGCAGATGGGTGGTGCAGAAGTACGTGGAGCGGCTGCTGACCATCTTTGGCACCAAATTCGACATCCGGCAATGGTTTGTTGTGACTGACTGGAAGCCACTGACTGTCTGGTTCTACCGAGATTGCTACCTGCGCTTCTGCTCCCAGCCCTTCTCCCTGTGTCACCTGGAGCGGTGAGTGCCCCCCACCCCAGCTCCCCACACCCCAGCACCCTGGCACCCTCTGACCCAGCCACACTTTCCCTGCCCTAGTGCCAGGCACCTCTGCAACGTCTCTGTCCAGAAGTGGTACAAGACGTCACCAGACCAGGACCCCCGTGTGCCCCCTGACAGGATCTGGTCCAACGAGCAGTTCCAGAAATACCTGGCACAGCTGGGGCAGGCAGACGCTTGGCACCAGATGCTGGTGCCCGGCATGAAGGCGGCGATCCTGAACACGCTGCGCAGCGCCCAGCACCAGGTGCGCTTCCGCAAGGGCAGCTTTGAGCTCTACGGGGCTGACTTTATTGTCGGGGAGGACTTCCAGCCCTGGCTGCTGGAGATCAACTCCTGCCCTACCATGAGCCCCTCCTCGGCGGTGACCCGACGGCTCTGTGCCAATGTCCAGCGGGACACGCTGCGCCTCGTGCTCGACCGCAAGGACAACCCCACCTGTCCCATTGGAGCGTTTGAGCTCATCTACAAGGAGGTAGGCTGAGGGGATGGGGGGGCAGACACCCCCCAGGCACACTGAGCCCCCCACTCCCTGCTGTCTCCCTGCAGGCAGCTGTGCCCAAGCCTCTGTCAACACGTGTGAAGCTGATGGTCAAAGGCTGTTCCCTGAAGAAGCTCCACCCAGCACAGCAGCAAGACCAGAACAAGCCCCCCACCACTGTGGCCACTGCCCTCCATCACCCTGTGTCCCCAGGGCCCAGCACCACCCACGTACCCAAGAAAGCACAGCATCAGTTCCTCACCATGGTGCCTTGTGTCCCCAAGCTCCTCCTGTCACCAGGGGTCAGAACCACCAAGGCTCCCCAGAGAACACGGCATCGCTCTCCTACCACGATGCCCACTGCCTCCAAGCAGTCTGTGTTGCCAGGGGGCAGAACCACCCAGGTAACCCAGCCCAGAGCAGCAACAAAGAAGCTGCCTCCTCTGGAGCAACAGAACCACTGCTCTTCCTCCAGCTCTGACCCCCCAGCACCACCAAAGCTCCAGGTCTCCTCTGCTGAGAGCCAGGGTCTGCCATGGCTCAGTTGCCTGCCTGGGCAGCCCCAGGCTGCACAGCCCCGGATCAACGGCTGTCCCATGAATTGGGTGCCTGTGCCACCACCCCGGGGAACCCCCAGCAACCCCTGGCTATCCCAGGGTTGTGCACGCTCCTTCCGTCCTGCCAAGCCCCAGCAACAACCTCCGTCTGCACAGAGCACCAAGACCCTGTGCCTGGAGCAGAAGCACACGGCAGTTACCACTGGGATAAAGAAGACTTGGGACACTAAGACACCCCCAGGAGTGGACAGAGCTCCACCTGTCCTTTGTTAGGCCAACAGTGCAGCACTTCTCATCCCAAAGAGTTCCCACTGCTGTGTTGTGGTACCCACCTCCTCCCTCATGCGTGCTTTAAAATAATTCTGTGATAAGGAGTCTGTCTCAGACCTTCTGTGCATGAGAGCTGTGGAGAGAGCTAGGACTGCCCCTGGAATGGGGTTGTGGGTGGGAACTGGGGCTGCCAGGGCAGAGAGCAGGCAGGAAAAGCTGCCTCTGCTTCTGCCTGTGGTCGCCCCTGCCAGACAGCTGCAGTGGGTGCTGACAGTGCTGCATTCTAGCACTTGGAACCAGGGCAGGCAGAGAGTGGTGGCAGAGCTGGTGCCCCCACCAATGCCAGACAGACAGACAGGAAAAACGCATCCTCTGTGTGCCAAGAAAAGAACTGAGTGTTGAGCCACCCAGGCAGCAGGAGCAGATTTTAATGGGGTGGCAGAGAGCAGAAGGATGAAGTGGGTGTCCCCCTGCAGCATTAGGGCTCCTAGTGCTCAGGCAGCCCCAGGCAACGCAGAGTGTGCAGAAAGTAGGGTGGAAGGGGGGCACAGAGGGGGCCCTCAGGCAGCACTAGCTCCTGTAGGTGGATGTGGAGTGGGAGGTGATAGAGCTGCCGTGGAGAAAGCCCCAGCTGGGACACCAACTCTTCATCCAGCACCTGCAATGTGAGTGGGCAGCTCAGTGGGATTGCTGAGGCTGTGCTGAATGCCCTACCCAGCATCCACCCTGGCCATGTACCTGTGTGCGGGTTGGGGCAGTCTCGGGGGTCAGAAAGAAGGGCATTCCCAGCACCCTGCCGACGTGGGAAGAGTACTTATGGTCACCCAGGGCTGGGCACAGCAGCAGTGTCAGGTGCACTTGGAGCTGTTCTGGGAAGGCTGGGGAGGAACAGGGAGAATGTGAGATTGCAGGGGTCAGGAAGCACGGCTGGGGTGGCGGAGATGTTGGGGGGCCACTCACCTGTCCTGGGCTGGAGCTGGAGGAGAGCACAGCCCCCCACGGTGCTCAGCACACGGTAGCGTGTCAGGGTGCTCTTCACATCCTTCCTGGCCAGGCTGCGGCGTCCTGGGGCTGGCACCGGCACCACCTGCAAAGCACAGCCCTCAGCACTCCCTGGGCTATCATCCCCCATGCCCCCAGCCCAACGGCACCCCCTTACCATGGCTCTGTCCCCCTGCTGCTGCCAGCACAGCCCGGTGCAGATCTCACCCTCCACCTCCGCCGGGACTCCCACGGTGATGGCACTGCAGGGTAAGGTGGTGAGAAGGGGACAGGACCCCCGTGCCAGCATGGCAGGGTCCCGAGGACTCACCGATATGTGGCAGGGTACTGGCCTCTCAAGCGAGCATTGGTGAAGAACTGTTGGAGCTTCTTAGTGGTGTGGTAGCAGCTGGACAGGAGGACAAGGCCAGAATACTCCCTGTGGGACATGGCTGCTTGAGACTTGGTGGGCGAAAGGCAGTCCCAGCTCCACCCTAGGACCACCAGCCTGGAACCTCCTACCATACCTGGCAGGAGCCTTCACCACATGGAGCTCAGCAGCGAGGCCCAGGTGTCGTCTCAGTGCCGGCAGCAGTGCATCCAGGCTCAGGTCCCCAGGGCGCCCTGAGGAGATGCTGGTGGGTCAGCACCCACTGAGCCCCCCATGCAGCTACCCCTGCAGACCCCCCATTGCTGTCCTGTACTCACCCAGAATGGGGAGGCCCGGGGGCTTGTTCAGCGCCAACAGGGCTCCTAATGAGTGGAAGTCTGGTCAGCAGGTACCTTCTTCACTGTCTCCCTTGCCCCCATTCTCCCCTGTCACAGGTACCTTCCCGGTGCACCACGGAGCCCTCCAACAGCCTCAGCGCCTCCTTGGGGCCCAGCAGCCGCCTCCACCTGCAGGGGATGGAGTGAGCAGGCAGACACAGGGGGGATTTCCCTCAGCCACCTACCCTGCACGCCACTCTGCGTGTCCATAAATCTCACCCACCACTGTCTGCCCTCCTCTCCACGTGTCTCTGCGCCCTCATGCTTCCCCAGCCCCTCTGTGCTCATGCATCTGCAACCCCACAGGTATGTCCCCAATCCCACAGCCCCAATCTCATAATCTCTCTGTACCCTCGGGTACAATGGGCTCCCACCAGCCCCCACGCGTGCGCATCTCCAGGTGCCTGCACACCCCTGGGCGGGCACCCCATGTACGCCCGCCCTCTCCGCACACATAACCGCACCCCATGGTTTCACCCCTCCGCCCTCGCGCGCCCCCGCGCCCCGCTGACCCCGCGGCGCGCGCTCCCGGTCCCGGGCGCGCCAGCCCTCGCGCGGCGGCGGCGGCGCTCCCGATGGCCGCCATGGCGGCACCGCCGCGCCTGCGCCGAGCGGTTTCCCCCCGGCATCCGGAGCCGGCGGCCGCGGCCATAGAGCAGCGGAAGTGCGGGCAGAGGGTCCCGCCCGCAGGTGCGGCACGGCGGGGAGCGGCGGGGCGGGGGGGGCACCCCCGGGGGGGGGGGGGGGCCCCCCCGCGGCGGC